AGGAGGCTGAGAAAAGCAGAAACCCTTCCTCTTCCCCCTCAAATGCAAATGTTCACTTATAGGCAATATTTTTGAGTTATTTTTACTTTCTTATTGTGGTAAAATGTACATAGCATAAAAATGACCATTTTCCCCCCAAAATATATTTTATTGAATTTTTGCAGAGAGGAAGGGAGAGAGATAGAGAGTTGGAAACATCGATGAGAGAGAAACATCGATCAGCTGCCTTCTGCACATCTCCTACTGGGGATGTGCCCGCAACCGAGGTACATGCCCTTGACCGGAATCGAAGCTGGGACCTTTCAGTCCGCAGGCCGACGCTCTATCCACTGAGCCAAACCGGTTTTGGCAAAAATGACCATTTTTAACCATTTGAAGTGTACAATTCAGTGACATTAAGCACAATCATAATGTTGTGTGACCATCATCACTTTTCCAGAACTTTTTTCTTTATCGCAAACAGGAACTCTGTCCCCATTAAACAACACCCCTTTCGTCCCTCTCCCCAGCCCTGGCAACCTCTATTCTACTCCCTATCTCTAGGATTTGCCTGTTCTAGGTACCTCGATACATATGCAATTAAAAAAAAAATCCCACCCGAGGATAATTTTTCCATTGATTTTTTAGAGAGAGCGGAAGGGGCGAAGGGGAGAGAGAAACATCGATTGATTGTATGGACCCTGATGGGGGTGGGCCTGGGAGTTGAACCTGCAACCCAGGTACCTGCCCTAGACCAGAATCGAACCACAACCCTTCAGTCCCCAGGCCGACACTCTATCCACTGAGCCAAACCGACCAGGGCCATCACTGCCAACACTTCCCTCATGGCTTTTGAAATCTGCCCTCTTTCTCCTTCCTCCCCACACAATCACTGGTCTGCTTTCTCTTCCTACAGCTTAGTTAGGGTTTTCTAGAGTTTTTTTTATAAATGGAATTACAGTATGTACTCTTTCTTCTGGGAGGTCTGGCTTTTTTCATTCCGCATAATTATTTTGAGCTTTATTCATGCTGTCGGTGGCCTGTATCCACATCGATTTTTTCCATCACGAGGTATTCCATTGTATGGATCTACCATGATTTTTTTTTTTTTAATCCACTACCCGCTGATGGGCATTTACGCTGTTTCCAGCCTTTGGTGCTAGTAAGTAGAAATACGGCGGGTTTTATATTTTGATCTTGTGCCCGGACACACTGCTGGTCTCGTCTATGAGCTCATCTTGTTCCCAGCGTCAGGGGGAAGCATCCAGTCGTTCACCGTTTAGCTCTGAGTTTCCCATAGATGCCCTTCTACCTCATAATGTGCTGAAGGTTTCTCTCAGGAGTGGATGCTGAATTTTATCCAAGGGGACAAAACCTCCCGCACCTGCGCAGGTGATCATCAGTTTTCCCTTGTTGGGGTGCCGGCCTGGGGAATTTACAATGATTTAGTCTCAAATCAAGCCAACCCTTCATTCCTGGTTCTGCTGCAATCAGACTAGGACGCGGGGATTCCGTTTGTCCCCGAGCATCCTGGGTGGTGTTTTTTTATTTTTAAAATTGACTGCCTTGTCGTCAATGAGAGCCGGCTTTACGGCCCAGTCCTCCGGTAGAGGGAGGGGAGGAGGGGGGGCAGAGGGTGAGGGCGGGCCCGGGCACCAGGCACCGCCCCCAGGGCCTGCCCAGGTGTAGCCCCAGGTGCGCCTCTTCGGGCTGGAGACGGGGCCTCTTCTCCGGCGCATTGCGCAGCCCTTGCACCTGCTGGAGCCTCAGTCTCCGAGTTAAGTAAAGGGAGCTGGTGGCGGCCCAGCTGCAGCCTGTGTGGGTGCCCCAGGGGTCCCCTTCTGAGAAACGAAGGTCATAAGCCTTGCTCTCGGGACTCCTGTATTCAGCGAGCCCGTGGTGACAAGGCACTTACGGAGATGAGGCGAACGCGTCCAATGGCCAGTTCGGGCCCTGGTGACCCCTCATTAGCCTTTTGACCTTCTGCCCATGGCGCAGTCTCTCAGCTCCGTCTCTCTTGCAAAGCAGAGATAATGAGACGCGAGAGCCTCTCAGCTCCGTCTCTCTTGCAAAGCAGAGATAATGAGACGCGAGAGGCGAGGGGAGCCTAAGTTGGGGTCAATGATAAGCGAGCAAGCGGGGAAGGGAAGAGCCAGAGCTAGAACTGGCGCCGGGATGCCTCTGGTCACGTGGACAGTTCGCACTTTGCCAGAAGGTGGCCATCTCCCCAGGATGGATGCCACTTGCGGCTCCACGGGGTGTGTGGGGGCTGGGAGAGGAGGAAGGGCTCACAGAGCCGAGGAAACGCTCCTGGCTTCTCTCCTTCCCCGTCCTGGCCTGAGCTCGGTTTTCCTCCAGCCTCCCGGTCTAGGCAGCGCTCAGCGGACCCATTTCTCCTTTTCTGTTGGCACCTAAGCATCCTGCCCAAATGCCCAGCGGGTGTGTGTGTCTTTGTGTGTGGTTGGGCGTGAGGGGGAATGGGGCGGGGGAAGCAGGTGGGATTTAGGCCAAGTGCAGATTCCAAGATTCCTCTGGAAGCGAAGAATGGACTTGCATTCCCTCACCCTCTGTCTTTTGTCATTTGGGGAGCCTCTTGTTTAGAATCACATTTGGGGGGGCTCTCAGAACTAGACGAAGGGTGGTGTCTACCGGGTCCCTCTTCCCCACTTTTGTACCCATTTCCCAGCTGCTATGGGTTAACCGGGGCTGCCACAAACAACTAACCCTGTGTCTTTTAAAAAAATATATTTTTTTATTGATTTCAGAGAGGGAGAGGGAGAGAGAAACATCAGTGATGAGAGAGAATCATTGACTGGCTGCATCCTGCATGCCCCACACTGGGGATTGAGCCCGAAACCCGGGCATGTACCCTTGACTGGACTCGAACCCAGGACCCTTCAGTCCTCAGGCTGATGCTCTATCCACTGAACCACCCTGTGTCCTTCTCCAAGCCACCTTGCCAGAGATAGTTGAGAGGTTACATGACTCCACCCCCACCCAGGGGGCCATTGAGTGAGTCAGGGAACCAAACCACCCCCCCACCACCCACCCCACCCCCTGCCCTGGCCTCATTGAAAAATGCTCTGAACCTCCCAGGCTGCCCTTCCCACCTCCTCCTCCGGCTCCCTCACAGCTTCCTCCTGAGAGCACCTCCTCCATAACTCAGTCACCCCCCTCCCGGGCGCTGCTTCTGTGGAAACCACTCCCAGGCAGGCCATGTGCTCTGTGGTTTAGAAATTGGGGTTCTGGGATGGGAGAGTTGTTCCTTCTGGCTCTGAACTCTCTCCAATTGAGTGATTCACTGAGTCACACAGTAAATTAGTGGCAGGGCCAGGTCCACAAGCCACTCAGCCTGAAGACCAGGGATGAGGGTGGGGCCTGCTGGTGAATGTCTCGCTGTGCTCCCAGATCAGGCTTCCTCTCAGTAAGCCCCCCTGCCGCCTTAATTATTCCAGAGACCTGTGTCTGGAACTCCACCCCCTTCCCTCTGCCTTGGAATAATTCACACTGATGCGGGAAAGATTGGCAGCTCAGAGACAATGCATCTTGAAAAGATCCAAACGCATCTGGTTGATCCAAATACATTTTTTTATTTTTTTGGTTAATCCTCACCCGAGGATATTTTCCCATTGATTTTTAGGGAGAGCGGGAAAGACAGAGAAACACCCATGTGAGAGAAACACATGGATTGGTTGCCTCCTGCAAGAGCCTTGACCAGTCCCTGGACAGGGGAGGATCCTGCAACTGAGGTATGTGCCCTTGACTGGAATCGAACCCGGGACCCTTGGGTATGCAGGCCGACGCTCTAGCCACTGAGCCAAACTGGCCAGGGTCCAATACATTTTTTAATTCGCTGGACTTGCTGTCAGGATGATAAAGTGAGCTGGCAAAATGCAGGCAGTGCAATTCAGTTTTTGAGGTCATGAAGGAGCCCCAATCAGCAGATTCCTCCGCTTTCCCAAGGATCAGCCTCCCCATCCCCTTTCCTGCCTCTCCTCACCCTCCCCGCCCATAACCAGACCACACGTGTTGAGAGAAATGCCCCGGTGTCTCCCAGGGTTCCCACAGCAGGACCTGTCACAGGTGAGTCACTGGAGGGGAAGCTGACTCAGCTAAAGAAATACTTTTGCCAAAATGCTTTTTAAAAAAAAAAAAAAAAAAAGAACAGACTGGTGGTTTGAGTTAAACTCCCTCACAAGTGGCTTATTTCTCAGAAGAGTGGGGAATTGTGAATGATTTAGTAAATGTCCACACCATTTGCCAAAGGCTCTTGCAGGAGGCAACCAATCCATGTGTTTCTTTCACATGGATGTTTCTCTCTGTCTTTCCCGCTCTCACGTATTGGCTCAGGGAGGGGGGGGGGTGGAGTCTGTGGTATTGGTCGGGGGACAGTGCCAGGAGGCACCTCTGAGGAGTGGCAGCCACTGGAGGCCCCGTCCGATCTGTGCCCTGACCTGAGTGACCTTAGGCAGATCATTTATTTTTCCCTGGGCAGTTTCCTCATCTGTAAAATGAATGGAATATTCCAGAACCTTGTTACTCCAAGTGTGGTCTGCAGACCAGTAGCATCTGCAACACCTGGAAGTTTGTGAAAAATGGAGTCTCCCAGGTCCTTCCCACCCAGACTCACTGGCTCAGAATCTGTATTTAACAGGATTCCCAGGCCATTTGTAACATTTATTATTATTATTATTATTGTTAGTCCTCACCCGAGGATATTTTTCTTTGATTTTATTTTTATTATTTTTAGAGAGAGTGGAAGGGAGGGGGAGAAACAGCAAGAACATGGATGTGAGAGAGACACAGTGATTGGTTGCCGGGCCCAGGCCATCGGTGTGCACATCACGGTGTGCGGAGCCCTGCTGGGGACCCGGCTACTCAAACGTGGTCCTCAAACCCGCGGGTCCGCCTCACCTGGGAGCAGAACTCGTTAGAAACTCAGGCCGATGGGCCCCACACCCACCGACCCGCGCGCAGGGCGGGGCCTGGGCTGCCTCTCCGGTGCGTGTTGGGCAACACTGACCTTTGAGAAGCCCCGGAGCGGCGAGCCGCGCGCATTCGAGCGGAGGCTGGGCTCCGGGCTGCGGAACCGAGGCCGCTGTTGTGAGAAGAGCTTGTTTTGTGCTGCGTCTCGGCTTCTGAAACGCTCCCAGGCCAGCCCTTCGCGGCAGCTCTGTGATGTCTTCATCTGGGCTCCGCCAAAGAGAAAGCTGATGTGTCAGGGAGATTAGGTGAGTTGCCCCAGATAGGGAGGCATATCTCACTCTGTCTTGCGTAGCGATATCAACCGAAGATGATTTTGGCAAAGCCGAGGAGCTGTTTATAGGGTAATAAAACTCCTTGTAAGTACTGAATGTTACCTGTTTATACAGGACGGGCTCTCGGAACCAGAGCCAAGAGCAGGGGGGTGGAGGGGAGGGGGGATCTGGTTGGGTCTGCACCAAGGCTTCGAGCTCGTGAACTTCAGCTCTTCTCATTCCCTGTTTAACGTTTGCATTAGATAAAACGTGCATATGGTTTAAACATCCTGTAGAAAGGGACCAGAGGGAAAGTTTTTCTTTCGCTCCTAGTTTATAACCAACCACTCATTACCCTCCAGCCCCAGGCAACTGTTTTGAGTTTACTGGGCCTAATCCAATCAGAGCTGATCCTGGAAAAGCTGTGAATCTCCCATGTGTGGCTGCCCTCATGACCTCCCAAGGCTCTGGACTTGCAGTATGGGCATTTTTTCCAACTCATTTTATCACCCCCGACAGAAACTCCATTACATGACAGGTTTATTTGGGTTAACCAGCATTTTTTTTAAAAAATATTTTTATTGATTTTTTTACAGAGAGGAAGGGAGAGGGATAGAGAGAAACATCAATGAGAGCGAAACATCGATCAGCTGCCTCCTGCAAACCCCCTATTAGGGATGTGCCCGCAACCAAGGTACATGCCCGTGACTGGAATCAAACCTGGGACCCTTCAGTCCGCAGGCCGACTCTCTATCCACTGAGCCAAACCGGTTAGGGCACCAGCATTTTTTTTTTTTAAGGGTGCACCATCTCTGGGAGGTTCTAAGCTGCCAGTCATTCACACTTGAGTGTGAATTATTCTAATACAGGGTCTCTTTATGCATATAAAAGCAAATACAAATATATGTGTATACTAGTAAAATGCGTTGACTTTTCGGCTCAATACATTTTACTAAATCGGGTACACCCTGTTCCCTGCCTGGCTCGTTTCACTGACTATATCATGCTGTTTTATTGTGGCGAACACTCAGGTTGTTTCCAATCTGCTACTGTTTGCACCTGTGGCATTTTGCAGGCTCATGTGATATACGTAGGATAAATTCCCAGAAGTGGGGTTGTAGGTATCTGCATGTGTAATTTTGAGAGATACTGCCAATTTGCCTTTCCTAAGATTAGTATCAACGTGCACCTCTGTTTTTGGATGAGAAGTTACTGTTTTCCGACATCTTTGCCAATGAGTAATTTAGTCTCATTACTGGCTTTCCCCCAATCTGATAGGTGAAAAGCAGTGACTCAGCTGAGTCTTAATTTAAACTTGTTATGAAAAGTTTAAAACTTATCTTTAAAAGGACCATCTCTCCCTCTCCCTCTCTCTCTCTCTCTCTTT